AAGATGACCGTGCATTACACAGACCTGGTTCCTTGGTCTTAAATATACCAACGTCGCCGTATGCAAAGAAAGCCAGAAGTCATGTGTGATATGCAATAGTGTGGAACGCTGAGAAAGGTCAAGACGAGAAGGGAGCGGAGTTGACAACTTAATCGCCCCTTTCCCCTTGCCCGTCGAGGCACGCATCTCGCATCGCCTACTGCTGTCAGCAGACGCCCACTCCATTCGCCGTTGCTACTAGAGTCAACGAAGAGCAGCCATGGCCTCCCGTAGGCTTGCAATATCTTTCCTCTGCGACGACGGCTCTTCCGCCACACAGCCGCCGACATCCAGCTCTCCTTCCCACCCAGTTCCGCCGGCACCAGGCTCGGGCTCAGACAGTCCTGCCTATGCTCAACAGGTTCGCCCTGATTATCCTCAGTACTTCAGAGGCGGCCAAGATGCACTGGAGCACACTGGAAATGCTCTTGCCTATTCCAATCACCCCTGCGATCTCGCCTCCAGCCACTTTGCAGGCTCATCGCGTACTCAGACGGCCAGCCTTCGACACCTTGGTGGTCCTGCCTCACCGCCAATGGCGGACACCCCTGTAATCGTTTCACCTGTACTAGAACGGAGATCTGTCCCCCAAAGTTATAGTTCGGACCGCACAGATGGAGAGTGGGAGGCGTCGAGGTTGTCGCGTTCTACTCACTCAGCTGTTCGCCCTTTCGAGTCTACACCTTACATTCGGGAAGAAGTCCACCATTATTCATCCCACAGTCTCCACCAATACTCTTACCCTGCACCTCCGGCGAATTTCCCTACTTCGTCATATCCAGCCCATTCTCGTCCCGGCTCCTCTTCGTCTGCGGCGCCGTCAACTTCTCGTTCACCTGTGACCTCATATCGATATTCACAGTCGCCCGAGCAGTTGAGATTATCCCCGCTTCGTTCTCCTGTGATCCCCTACACTTCCCTGCAATCACGTCCGAGCATGTCCCCTACGCACGCGCCAACGGCTGAGACGACTTCGCCACCTCACTACTATTACGGCCAAACACAAATGGCCCGGGTTCCATTATCCATTCAGACGTATCAGACCTCAAGCGGCCCGTTCACATCTGACTCAGCACAGTCAAGTTCATACCCTTACGCGCAGACTCACGCGACTCAGCAGTCCCAGGTCAAATCTGCATCTTCGTATGCGCCGGCAATGTCACCTTCGTTTTCAAGAGCTCATATGGAATCCCCGCTGTCTGGGTTGGATGTTCTGGTGCAGGCGGCTACGGAAGAGCGACGGAGGTTGAGTGCAGGTTCCGAATCCGGAGCAGTCAGTGCGATAAGGACTAGCCTGAGCCCTGTGGCAGACCGCTCCGCCTTGCACGATCGTGTGGCCTACCAAGAGTCTGCCCAGCCCCAGTATCCGCAGACATATCGCCTGCAGTCCCCAGTGATTCCAGAGTCGGTGCGCAATCTGGATGTGGAGCCTCCCCGGAAGAGACGTCGAAGCTCGGGTTCCCCGCCGCCTTGTGTCTCTCATGACCACCAGTTGCATATCGAGACGATGAGTCCTTTGCTTGAAGAGCCAAAGGAACATTCTGTAGCTGTGGAGAGACCGCCGTCAGCGCGACCATCACCCATAAACGACGAACCTGTGAAGATGGAGCCCCAGCCAAAACCTGTTGAAAATCCTTCTAGGCCGCCCACCCCGGTTCCGGAAGGCGAGCAGGATGCGCACGAGTGGTTGATGGAACAATATGGTGCATCATCGCGATCGTCAGTCTCACCATTCCCCTCTCCTCGTATTTCCCCGGCATCGGCGCGTGAGGGTAGAATGTCTGAGAGCTGGTTAGCACCAACCCAGTTCCTTTCAACACCCGCTGAGTTGTCTGCGGCAGTCACCCCTGCCCCGCCAAAACTACTCTCCAAGAAATCGAGTCCATCTACCCCTACTCGAGTCCTAGAGGAAGCACTGGACTATGCTGAACCCATTAAGCGGGAGGTCTCCGTGCCACCAGATCTCGATGTCGATAGAGACCTTCTTGGGCTTGTCGACGAACCTTCGGCAGGCCCTTCGACGAGTTATTTGGACGTTGAAGACGAGCTTCTGAGCTTGGTCGACGGTCACAAGGATAAGAGACCTCTTTCTAGTCGCAGTTCGCCGGAGGTATACCGTCGTAAAAATGTCCCATCACCTACCCTGCATATGATTCACGAGCATCCACCTGCGTTCCCGTCGACCCACAAACGAAGTGCATCACGTACCCTTCCATCCGCCTCTGTACATGAACGCGACTTGATGCCACCTCCGTCGACTGTGGGTACTTCGAGTAGCAGCAAGGATACGGCCCCTGCAGCGAAGTCACCTAACAAGAAAGATGAAGGCCCGAAGGCCACAGTTGCAAACGTCGCCAGCGCGCCTTCACCGACAAAGAAGAAGGTGTGTTCTCATCTGAGCGCTTCTCGCGTCGCTGAATTGGAGGTATTGATTTACGTGTTCTCAGGCCGCTACTGCCGCTTCCAAGTCGAAGCCACCTCCGAAACCGAAGAAGAAAGCCTCCGGTACCAACACCAAGTCTCGCGTGAAAGCCCTTCAAGACGAGGAGGCGGCATCTACCCTTTCTCGCAGCAAGAAAGCTGCCTCGTCTGCTGCTGGGGCAAAGAGCAGAGCGAAGTCTGGATCCGCGGCGCGATCGAGATCGACTTCTGTTCTTCCTGGTCGTCCAGGATCTGTCGTACCTGAAGCAGAAGTGGCTGGGAGGGAGGATGAGGAGCTGCCAGGCGATGATGATGAGCATGCAGCTAAGGTCAATGATGACAAGCTCTACTGCATCTGTAAGACGAAGTATGACGAAGATAGGGTCATGATTGCGTGTGATCGGTAAATGCATCTGAGGTTATATTCGAATTTGGATTTGCACGCTGATTCTGCCGCTAGTTGCGATGAATGGTACCATACGCAATGTGTTAATATGCCAGACCTGGAGGTCGACCTAGTGGACACCTTCATATGCCCACCATGTGTAAAGAGTACGTGTTTCGTCCCGCGGATCATTCATTATTTGACTCACGGTCTTGTCCCAGGCAATCCCCATCTAACCCTTCATACGACTTACAAACGACGTTGCTTCGCTGGATTGCAGCATCCCAATCCGTCCTCGACCAGTGCGTGCCATAAGTCTGCTCGCGGTGTTCTATCCAAATACTGCTCTGATGAGTGCGGCGTCAAACATATGCGCCGTCGTATCGATGCCTGGGCAGCCGGAGGGGGCAGTACGAGACAATTATGGAACAATGTCAAGTCTGCCGAGAGGCGAGAAGGAGTTGTCATACGTGTCGATGCTGCAGACCAGTGGAAAACTGACCCCGCTGCTTTCATCGAGGCCGCTGACTCGAACGTCAAGAACGATCGCGAAGTAGAACGTCTTCGGAGGCAACTTGACAAAGTCATGAAAGCCCGAGAGCAGCTCAAGAAAGAGATGGAAGTGGTCATCTGGCGTCAGAAACTGGTTGAACTCGCGTCCGATAGGGCAGACAGAGTGGATGAATGCGGGTGGGATCAACGCCTCTGCTTTGATGACGGTGAGTGGGCGGAGTTCGGCGCAGGCGTTTTGGAAAGCTACGAGGAGACACTAGAGGATGCAGGTCACGAGTCCGAGAGTGGTATGCAGATCGATGGGCCAGTAGCCGAACATGGGGAGTGGTGGTGCAAAGGCAAGAAGAAATGCGATCGGCACGCAGGGTGAGTATGCTTATTATCAGGATACAAAACGTATACTGACGCTCTGAGTTACCTATGAAGCTGGCAGAAGTTGCGGATCGCCGAAGCTGATTTTGACAAAGAGACGAAGGAAGCTACAATCGCGAAGTTGACCTCTCAGGAGCGTGAGCTACGCAAGCGTATCGAGGATATACTAGAACCCAAAGGAGGAAAGCTGGCGTCGACTCTGTCGTTGAAGTCAAGCACCAAGCCTGCGGCCAACGGACATGTCAGCGCAATCATGAAATCAAATGGAGACCTCAGCAAGAAGGGTAAGAAAAGGAAAGCAGAAGCCATTTAGATCCATGTATTATTATATCCGAGCATATTTTACCTTCGCAAGCCCTGTTGCTGTGGAATTCACGCTTATGTCTGATACAGCGATATTTCGTATTTAGGGCGTCCTAATAGACATTCCCTATCCTATAATAGCATATATGGAGTCGAGGCGTAATGAATCTGCCATGAATGTCTCCAAGTCAATGTCAAAATGGGTAAACGAGCATGAGGGATCGTTAGTATCCATCGCCTTCACCGCCCTCTTTACAGAAGCCCTTCTGCTCATATAGGACACCAGCTTTATACTCGTCTTTTTTCTTCTTTGTAGCAATGTCCTGCTTGTGATATGGTTCGAGCACATTCCATTCAACCTGACGCAAGGGTATGTCGTCTTCTTGATCAAGATCCTACGTTTGGGACGAGGGAGTTTGGTCACTATGTCAAATGCGACATATGGAAAACGTACTATTTCGCCGAGTAGTACGACATTTTCTCCTCGAATGAGATACAGACCTTGCCATCTCTCAGCATATACGTCCGTGTGGTATATGCGTTCGACGGTGTCTTCCAGCACCAGGTTGGCTATGAGCGGTTCAGCATGGCGTGAGGGATTGCTGCAACTACATGAAGAACATCATGCTGACCGAACTGATCATATGATCGCAATACACCGATCAACTTTCGACCATCTCTCAGCACCACCATCATCTTTCCTAACCAAACCGAACATGAACAGGTCGGCGGGATCATGGTAGGCTCAGGATTGTTGAGTGGTGGTGCAGTTGACGTTGGCAGACGTACTGTCCACGCAATCCACGAGAGATCCCGACGTTGTGAATGGTATTAGTGAATCCATGGCCAGATAACAGTGTTTGAGTTCGGTACTGAGGAGCTTTAGAGGCAAAATGAGTTGATCCTCCATTCCAAGTTTGAACGCCTGTTTGAGTATATATATTTGGATAGAAGATCATGACGTTGTGCTGATATGGCCGAGTCGTTAAGGCGAGTGATTTGAATTGTCAATTCTATCACTTGGGCATCGCCCGCGTAGGTTCAAATCCTGCTGTCAGCGTCTCTCTTTTTTTTTCCTTTCTGCACCTTGATCCTAACTGCGTAATGTTCGAACATGATGTATTCGGCGTCAGATTACTCTAGTGAAGATAATACAGCACTAAAGGAGTTCATGCGGTGCAGCGGCGGTCATAAGCTGTTTCTCGCCGACGCATCTATAGAAGGATATAGGACGAATGATGATTTCTCCTTTCGCTGGCGGACCGGGATTGTTACGACGGCAGGATAGATCAATAAACATTGCTTGTATCATCTCTGCGATTGGGGTTGTATACGTGAGGGCTACACGTACGCAAGATCAATCATAGTTACTACGGGTAGCCCTATGCACGCACGTTATGAATCTGGTGATGAACCTTTGTCGAAGTATTGCCACTGTCCGGACTCAGGTTTCTCCTCGAGGGGTTCCCATCTAACATAAAGTAAGCGAATTGTATTGAACTCAGCCGGACGTAACTTACGGTTTCCATTCTAGCATTTTCGTGACGAGACTCTCCTCGCCTTTCGCAACCTCTAGAATCTCCTCGATATGTCCCTCGTCCAACTGTTTCTCAGCCTCCTCGACGTTCCCGTCCACTCCTTGCACGATCTTCAGCTTGTGTAGTGTGAGGGCCTCCACTCCTTGCCGGTAGACAGACGTCTGGGGAACTTTGGAGAGTAAGGACAGGGTACTTTCATACGTCTTTATCAACTCCGGAAGTGGGTTGGAGTGAACAGCAAGCCCTGTTAGCCCTGTGGTCGACTTGAGAACTTGCTGGAACAACGGTCGAGTTAGACGAAACATGGCAGTCCGGAGACAACGATGAGTGCTTCCGATGCGACTTGATGTGCGCCGAAATAGGCAATTGTACTGAGGTTGTGGACTTCAATTTCTCCTAGTTCCTCCGCTGGACCATGGCTGCTCTGGCGCTGCGACAAGCCCCCTCTCTGTCGTCATTCTCAAGAATATCTTTTCTGGCTCCTTTCTTGTCGTCAGTCTCACTTGTCCCCTCTCTGTTTGCTCCTCCGTCCTTCCGATGGACGATACCTGCACTCCAATCATTGCTCGACTTGTTCCCCCCTTTCGTGCTAGCGGTGCCTAAGAAGAAGACGTCGCACTCGCGAAAACGGATGCGAAGTGCGAATAAAGGGCTAAAGGACAAGCTTAGTGCGTTGACACCGGATTTATGTTGTCTCCTCACTGACGTTCATGCCCTTATTTTCCATCTTTAGACCTCGTGCATTGTCCTGGGTGTGGGTCACCCAAACTCGCACACAGCTTGTGTCCGAATTGCTACTCGCAACTAAGTAGGGGCTGGAAGCAGCAGATGAGGGAGCAGTTATGACGATCTTATGAGTTACTTTGATCGCAGGAGCCGCAATACGGTCGCCAGGTAAGTACTCGAACTGGTATTTGCATCTACAACTAAACCCATGCCTAGGAATACTGTCTCTCGTATATTGATGGAGAGTCATCTCACGCAATCCAGAGATGTGCCAGTCTCTGGTCTGCTAGGGCAGCATGGATCCCTGACAGCGTGATAGGCGCGTTTTTTAAGAGGGTTCATTGTGTATGCAGTCACCTCCCTTGTTAATGTGCAATGACATTCCCCTCACTTGTAATAACCTTGTCCGATGGCTACACTTTTTTTATACATCACCCATTTGCCGTATAGCGCAGATTCCTTCTGTCTGCGCTTCTAGAGTAGATGTCAGCAGTACAGCCTCGTAATTCTACCGGCAACATAAGACTCGATCACGTGTGGCTACTAATTACGCTTCTGGGATCACAGCCGGACCAGATGACACTTAACTTACTTGATCTTGCTACCGGCCTGGGGCAATAGACGCGCAACGAGGCTCAAAGGTTGTACCGATCCTTCACCTTCAACCTCCACCAGCCGTCTGATATGCTATCCCGACGCGTTGTCTCCCAAACTCCACGTTTGGCGCGTGCAGCTTCAACCAGTGCCCGAGGTCGTGAAGCCATCCTACAGAAGAGACCTGACGATGTAGTCATAACATTCGCGAAGCGTACCGCTATGTCTCGTGCTAAGAAGGGCCAGTTGAAGGACATCCCGGTGGATGAGCTCTTGCATGGTCTGTTTAAAGTTGGTGACAAAGTCCGCTGTTATGCTCTCTGTAGACTAATTGCACAACTTCGCTTCATCAATAGTCCACACTTGAGACTACCCGACTTGACCCTACCAAGATCGAGGATATCTGTGTCGGTGTGTAGGCCTTGCAGATGTCAAACCCGCTGAGTTTAATGTCGTAATCCAGGCACCTGCCATCCCCCTTCGCCACTCTACATCTCTCGCGCGGCCGCTCTGGCTGCCGGAGTACCCTATTCGGTCCCCATACAAACCCTGAATCGACTGTGTTCATCTGGTCTCATGGCGATCAGGACTGTCGCACATGCCATTCAATCTGGTGACATCTCGTTGGGTGTCGCAGTCGGCGTTGAAAGCATGTCACAGAAGTGCGTCTTAATCCTTGAGTCCGTGTAAAGCAAGTGTGACATCAGGCAGCCCGCGTCCTACTCCAGAAGTGACGGAACCAGTGGGGAAGAATTCGCATGCACACGACTGCATTCAGGTAACGGGATTTCTCGATGTTACGAGACGAATACTTAGGTTACTATTTAGCCTATGGGTTGGACCTCTGAGATGGTAGCGCAGACGTATGGAGTACCCAGGCAAAAGCAAGACGAATACGCATTAGTCTCGCACACCCGAGCAGAGAAGGTCGGAGCATATGTCAATACCTTTCGCAATCGGCTGACCCAGTCTACAGGCCGTCGCGCAAGGCATATTCTCCGAAGAGATTATACCCATTGAGCTGAGGGGAGCAGTCGTCTCTGTGGACGATACCGTACGCCCCGGTGTAACAATAGAATCGCTCTCCAAGCTCAAGTCGGTGTTCCCGGACTGGGGTGATGCGTCCACGACAGCTGGTAATGCCAGCGGTGTCGGCGATGGTGCCGCCCTTTGCATTATGACTACTAGAGCCCATGCTGAGAAGGAAGGCCTGCCCATCCTTGGTAAATGGGTCACGAGTGTCATTGTCGGCGTGGAACCCCGTGTCATGGGAGTTGGACCTATTCCGGCAGTGAACAAGATCCTGGAACAAGCGGGTTTGACCAAGGAAGATATTGACGTCTACGAGGTTACTCGGTCCTTCCCTTCGTCACGTACGAGTAACTTATAACACTGATCCCATAGATCAACGAGGCCTTTGCATCACAATTCGCATACTGTGTTGAACAGCTCAAGATTCCCATGGAAAAGATTAATCCTAAGTACGTCATTCACAACATTTATACAGTTTATACATATGTTGAAATTGATTTATCCATGCAGTGGTGGTTCCATTGCCTTAACACACCCTCTGGGCATGAGTGGGTGCTTAATGAACTTGTTGAAACCATGACTAACGTGAGCATCTCTAGCCGGCGCACGTCAGGTTGTAACCGGTCTAGCGGAATTGAAAAGAAGACAGGGACAACTGCTGTGTACCAGCATGTGTGTCGGGAGCGGTATGGGTGCCGCTGGTATTTTTGTCAATGAAGCACTGTAGAATAGCAGACATCTCGTAATACAATCAAGTCTATAATGCTTCGTGCCCAGTCGTTGGAAGTGAGTCATGAAGGTTGCAGGCCTTAACGTCGCCTGTATATTGGGATCTGAGAGCTGCATCAACGATCTCTGCCAAAGCAACGAGAGCCTCCTCATCTAGTGTCCTCCCTATAAGCTGCAATGTTATGGGGGCGTCACGCACCAGTGCAGGGTCATCTATAGGGGATTCAAAATCACGCCGAAGACTCTAGATGAATGACGCCTTACACCACTGGTGGAACTCCCTGTCAGCATCATTGAGGTATTCGTGGGGCGGCACCTTGACATCCAACTCTTGGTCAACTTGTGATACGGGCAGGATTATCACTGGGTAATCTAAAAGATTGTATACTCTGGTATATCCCGCTGGCCTGTGTTCTTGCGTGTCAAAAGCAGGTTAATCCTCATGGTACAGACTTTACCTATTCTTCCCATGTGGCGGAGCGACATAAGGCGCAACGGGAGCAATAATTGCATCCACAGGTCGTCCTGTGCCTGTATCTTGTGCGGTCTTTTCCCAGTGGTCCAGGTACTCCTTGCGCAACTCAATCTTTCTCTTGTGAAGTTGCCACAGTTGGTACGATGATATGCCTTCTTGCGGATATCGCGTGTCTACCGCGGCTTCTGAGAATGCGTTCGACTCTGGGAGCATCGTGGCGATTATTGGCTCTTCAGTACTAAGCGTTGTCATTCGGAAATCTTCACGAGCAGCTGCACCCCATATGGCTACCTGAATTGAAAGCACTAAGTCCATCAAGACTTTAGCGATCCTGCCCATAAACTGCTCACGGCTGTGTCATTCATCTCCTTGTGGTTGATGGGTTTCCAATCTTTGACTGTTGGTATAAATGGTCATTCCAAGCGCAGTCCCCGCATCTGATGTACAAACCGATATGACCCGCATTCACCAACGCATCCTTGATCATTGTCAGGCCACGAAGAACGGGTGGATGGGGGACAATGTTACCATCATCCCACATTATGCCAAAGCATAGACATTTCCCTTCGCCGTGTTCTGACAACTGGTAAGCTTCGTGGTCCCAATGCTTGCGAACGGCCAACGGGTCTTTCTTCCAGGGCTCCAGGTCGATGACCGCTTTCATGAATGCTTTGATACCGCTAATACTGTTCGACAGTGGACCGAATACAGATGGTACAGAATCTTCTCCTTGGAGGGTGTTCAATGCGCCTTCATATGGCACACGGTGGTATGAAGGCCGCATCCCGTATATTCCGCAAAACGAGGCTGGTATTCGAATAGAGCTGATGCACGTAAGATAATATCAGGATCGACGAAGGATTAATCACATACCCGCCAATGTCTGATCCAACGCCCAAGGGACTCCCCTTGAGAGCTATGAGAGCCCCCTCGCCACCGGAAGAGCCGCCGCATGTCAATGTCCTA